TGTGGGTTCGAGGGGTAGAGAACTGTGGTTGGGTTTGGGATAAGCTAAAGAGGTCCACTGCAAGGAACTCCAGCAACTCGAAGAGGTGGAGGAAAGGAGCCTGTTTCTGGGTTCAGGGTTGATAGAGACCTCGTTCAAAAAAGTATTGGTCACCTGAATTTCAAGTTCGCTCGACCGACATGCGTGCGGTGTCGCATGTTATCATGCTCGGTTTAGAGAGGTGCTGAGGGCCACTGTGCGTGCCATCATCCTACTTATCAGCTGCAGGCTGGCAGGTTCGAATGACGACTGCTGGGCGGTAACTGTACGGACTACCGGAAGACGGGACTTGATTCACCATTGTCTTTTTTGGGGGGCAGCTTCGATTGCAAACGTCCGCTGGTTGAAACCAGTGTAGAAACCCTGAGCGCAACGATGTTATCCCTTTGGCCGCCCTTCGAGGGAAATGAGTGACGGCCCTTCTTGTCATGTTTAGGACGTCGAGGGATGGAACTGCCCATGTAGGAGGCCCATTGTTGAATCCCTAGTTTCTTGGGGTGTCCCAGTGTTGACCTGAGGAACTTGCACATGCCCTTTGAGGCCTTTAAGGTCGCTCATGATCGTTCCTGCCAGGAATTCGAAGGCGGACTAAACCACACGTCTGCCCCAGAGCCCGTGACTCGTCCTGATGCAATTCAGCAACCCAGATCCCTTCCAGACTTCTTGTCGTCCGATCCGCGAGCTCTGAACGGTAACGGTGAGGGGAAGATCCCGACAAAGTAGCTCTATGGAGTATTGCGGCACAGCAGCATAGCTGGAGGAGGAGATGGGTACGCAACGATTACGCTGATATCCACGTGGGCCGACATATTGTGTTTGGAAGACCCTTCGCAGCACCTGTGACAGCATTCGAAGTCTCTCATTCCTCAAATATTGGCCAGCAGTTGGCCGAGCTTCTGCTACCATTTTACCTTATGAACTTATGAATATTTCCTTGGTTGTCAATTGGCACTGCTGAAGCGTGATGTAAATGCTTGAGCTGTTGTCGACAAGCCTGAGAACCCTGAGAAGACCAACCCATCTCCTCATTCTAGAGCCTTGGATGCTATCAATTCTCCGCGAGTCCAAGCTATGCTGGAATGGACACCATAATGGATCTGATAATTTGTGTCGGAGGAGGATGAAGGAGGTGCGTTCAACCCATGTTCCTGCACTCCCCCTCCCCCTCCCCCGCCCTCGACAGGGCCTTCAAACTTCTGCACCGTCTTTTGGCTTCGTCACTAGTGCCTGACAATGCCCTGTACAGCATAGGCCTGCAGGTTGGCTACAAAGGCTTGCCATGACAAGCCAGCTTGGACTCGTGCATTTGTTGCACTCTCCTTTTTAAGATGCCGGCCGTGGTAGTAGTCGGCCTTATTGACGTCATGGCGGGAATGCCGCAGGCATTTCCTCATGACAGGATTCGTGCAGAGACCCTTGACTCGAAGTCCCTCCACCGAAAGTTACAAAGTTCTTTCACACTCAACGGTATGAGGTATGACTCATCAGCCCTGCGCCCAAACCCCTTCAGCTTGCAAATTTGTTCAGCTTTTGGGTGTGTTCGGCGTGGTTCAGGAATTCCTGACGGAAGGTTGAAGGAAGCAGTGCTCGAATGAAAACAGCATGCCGACGGCATGCTCTCCGTACTGTGTCGCACACATGGTTTGGAGGTCCTGACACCACGCCCCACATGTGACGTGCAGCGCTACGTCACAGCGAGGGGCACCAGTGTGGAGGGTTGTCTTTTGCCGCGGAAAAGGGAGCTGCTGCATTCACGACTCACTTCGCAATCGCATGCAGCGCAGTAGCCCATCTCGAAAGAACCGGTGTGTGTTTTGTGTTGCAGCCCAAAACCTGTGTTGCCAGAAAACTTAATTAACATCGTCCAGTTGCAGCCGTCGCCCCAATCTACAGAGCAGTGAGCCCAAGTCGAGCTAGCCCATCACCTGAGGCAGACTGAATGACACAGCCACAAAGGCGACAACGGCGGAGGCCAGGAGTGATCAAGAGGTTTTTGGACTCGGAGTCGTAGGGCGTAGTGTGCGGATTCGGCTGGAAACCTCAGAGACTTGGCCAAAGATCTTTTCACACACCCTGCGTACAAGGATGAAGTCAAAGCGTTCCAGACCTTCCAGGAAGCCCATTAATTCGATCTAGGTTGGCGACCGCACCCGCCAGTGGATGGCTCCTGTTCGGAAGTACGACCTAACATGACATAACGCGAAGGTCCAAGAGATTCTTTTTTGGAGCGGTGGGAGTTGGCCGCCAGAAATTCAGAACTGCATGAAGTGTTTGGGCTGCGTTCTAGGCTCCATTGTTCACGCAGTTCAAGATGATCGTCGTATCCCAATAAACACTGGGATGCATTCACAAATTCAAAGCCCGTGACATTTTCGGCTTCGTGTGCATTTCCCCTTTCCTGCAGAATCTCCCCGGGGCTGGTTTTCAACTAAAGGCAGCAGCCATACGAGTTCCAACCTGCAGCAAAGGCTGAAATCAAGAATCTACTAGTTCAGCACGTTTTCTGGATGCTTGAGCTGGTTCAAAAATGGTGGGGAGAAAACTCTTTGGAAGTGTGAACACCATGGACCGGAGGGCAGCTGCCACTGACCGCAGTGGCCGGCATGCAGAATTCCGGAAAGGATTGCAGCGTGCTCTTGCATGATGGAAAACAGGAGCTTTGCCTTCTGCCGTGTAGTGCTCTCTAAACGGGTAGTTGTGACATAAGTTTACAAACCGGCAAATCGGAGGGATGTTGGAGCGTTCAGGAGCGGATAGCGTCCACGCAGTTTTGGAGTTTGCCTCATCCGTGGCTGAACTGTGTTGCTTAAACGTTTAATGCCAGTCGCACAGTCTTTGAAAACTGCTTCCTAGAGGGCCCCACTTACTTGAATTCTGATTGGCTGCCAGCATGGCACCGTGGATCCAGGTGGACTTCTCAGTCTCAACGTATAGGTTTGCATTCTTGTGCTTCACTCACCGCACGGCTCGGGAAAGCTTGATGAGGATAGCTGAGGCAAGTTGACTTTGTCAGGAGGCTGTTGCATCTCTGCAGGATGTTGGAGCGCTGGCCGCGAAAGAGATAGTCAAGATTGTCAGCACCTCCATGCACAGCAGGTTGAGAGTGCTTTTGAAGTTGAAGCAAGCTCATTCACCACGAAATCTCCTGGCATTGGGCGTAGCCCCGTTTGCTGCAGTCGCCATGGCTGTTTTCTGGCGCACGGATGTCCAGGGCAGCATGCCAGGCCTTCCGGGCTTGAGGATATTTGAGGATCTTCATGACAAGCGCAGCTTGCAGCCGTCACTCTTGTGGTGCCCAGACTTCATGCCGGAGTCCGCCGAGGCAGCAAGTGTTCAAACTGTTCTCACGCGGGAAATATCTCGGCAACATCACATGACCTGCAAACCTGGTTGCATGATGTCTCTCCCTCAGATATCTCTCAGTGAAAACTGCCGACACAGCCTCCTCAGGTGATGAAATATCGACTCCAAAATCACGGCCCAAGGTCATGTTGCCGCTTTCACAGACACGTTTGGCAAACGAGGCAACATCAGAGTAGCCGGCAGTAAAATGATTTACGTCATTTTGCTTCGGCTGCAGGAGCCGCCGAGCCAGGGGCAGGCCTTGCCACTCGCCTGAAAGGACAGGGCTGCAGGCCGTTTTGCGTCTTCCCATGACATGAAACCGTATGAAACCATACTGTTTGGGCAGGGTCTTCTAAGGTTCGCCTCAGGCCGCCATCCCCCCCCAGGCCAACCGCCGAGCTGCCAAGGTCCTGCCAGCGCTCGGCTCAATGGCAACGGAGCCTGGAACTGGCATCTCGCTTCAACTCAAAGCACAGCGAACGGTGCAACTGAGTCGAGGCGTGTCAAGCTTGATTGAAACCATAAAGCCAGGGTCGTACACAACGAAGCCTCCGCGTCACTACCCATCTCCAGCAGAGGTCCGGCAAATGGGCTCAGACCGACATCGAACCTCGCCATGCTGTTCTGCCGTTTGAAGCCTGAACAGGCGGTAATTTGGACTGAGTGTTGAAGGGCAAGTGTTAGAAAGGCGCAATCTTACACTGCTGTATCAGTGTGAATGTAATGTAAGGTCAATGTTAGGTCATCGTGCCAGGAGCCATGCTTAATGATTAAGTTAGATGTGTTGAGTCACCCCAGCTACAAAGCCCAAGTTGTCCATGATGACCACGAGTTTGGATCATGGCTTCCAGCAGGCATCAATGCTGACCGTAGCCCGAATTCTGATTCGTGCGTATTTAGACTACGGAGACTAGGGCTCTTCATTCGTGGTAGCTCGTGCCATCCGCAGCTAGAGTGAGACTGGACCTTCATAGGATTGGACGTCATCGGACTGAACAAAGCCATCAGCGCTTGCCAGAAGCTCGCCCTGTCTGGTGGGAAGTTGAGGGCTCCACTCTAGTAAGAAGGCGTTCGCATTCTGCCGCTGATCGCAGTGTCAGGAGTAACGACACATCTTTCGTGAGAATCCATTAGCATGTGAGTCCTAAGCTTGTAACCCGGACCAAAGGCGTGGGCGCAGCTGGCAAGCAGGACTAGCATTACTGTTGGCAACACCAGTTCTCCCGGATGCCATCAGCCGCCGGGAAGTGAAACCTTGATTGAGGGTGGTTGATTTGGACCAGAGTGAGCGAAAACTAGCCGGAGTGTGCAGTAACTAGTCGATGGTGTTAAACTGTTAAATGGGCAGCATCAAGGAGGTCCCAGTTTGCCAGAGGGCTTTCGGCCGAAGATAGACTACGCTGAGCAGATGAATTCTCGGCCCACGCTCCGTCCTGCAACATGTACGACCGGCCTAGGAGTACACGGGGTTCTTGGACGGGGTTTTAGGCTGGATCTTCGAGTTTCGCTGGGCTGCTTGTTCATTCACCTTGTTTGTTTCGTTTCGTTTTCCGACCACCGTTGCCGAGTGCGAGTGCTGCAGTGCTGCAGCGTGGGCATCAAGTGTGCGGCTGCAGGCTACAACACAGCCGCAAGTGCTGCCAATCGCGGCGAATGGCAAGTTGGCCAGCTGCTCCTGAAGGAGATGGCTGCCCCTTGTCAGGGTCGACAATGGTCTAGGTTTGAGCTTTCCTGAACTGGTGAACGCGACCGGCGTGATCGAATGACCTAAATCCCGTGCTCAACCAAGCCGGCAACAGGCATGCTTCAACGCACTGTCCACTTTGCATGGGGCATTTGTGCTGCTGTCTGCAGCCCAGGGAGTATCGGGAAGATGCATCATGAACTCTAATCTGCTGGGCTGGAAGCACAAGCTCGTGGGCCAATTCGTTCTACTCTTTTGGCCGGTGCTGGCTTGCAAGTCTCAGGAACCCCCCCCCCCAAGGTATGGCGGGCGAATCATTAGAGATTAGAGTATTAGAGGTTCCATGCCTTTTGCCCAAAACGTTAATGTCGAAGCAATCAGACCTGAACACTTGAAGTGCCGTGCCTTAGTTCATGAACCTGGGCGCAGCAGACACATATTCTCAAGCAAGCGCTACGCGTGCTTCAGGCTTTCGATTTTGCGCCCAGGACGGCAATCTACAGCGTGACCTCATCAGCTACAATTCATCCTTGGCCGGCTGCCTGAGGGGACTCTTGCCTGCGAGGTTTTCACTGAGTGTTCAATCTGATTCAATCTTGGCAGATGCCTTGGCAAGTTCTATAAGGTTGATTTGGATACTTCAGCAAAGGATGATTCGTGATCCTTCTGTTGGGTTCAGTTCCCGAGGGTTCCAACAGGCCCGACCAACCGATGCTCGTTCCTCGTCCCTGCTCGCCCATCCCTTACGCTTCGCGTCTTCACGCGAGCATGGCCCGCACGCAAGGCAGCCGTTGGATCGCAGCTTTGGATTGTCTCCCCGACCTGGCACAGCAGGCATTGCCCCTCAGCTGCCGAGCATCACTTGTCGTAGGTTGGCTGGCATCTTATATATCTTATGCTGCTTCTTTCATCATGAGGCTCTTCAATCGCACGTTTCATTCGCTGTACTCTTACGAGAACCTGGTTTTGGGTGCGCGCCTCTAGCGGCACGAGGACTGCCAGACTTCGCGTCACTTTGGAGGTCATTCACGCAGAGCGGAGTTCAAGTCAATCACTCTTGCTCGCAGTCAGATTTGCAAGCGTCAGCAGAGTTCTCTCGCGACCACCGAAGTGGCACCTGAAAACAGAGAAGGAGAATCATAGTCAGATTCCTTCCAGCAAATCCCAGTCTTGCCTTGCCGACAGAACGAGGCTGCCAGACGTGGTTTCTGCCACCCTGATCTCAGACACTCTCCGGTCTTCGCTTCAGTGGCGCAGCTTGCCATCAAAGCTTTGGCAAGGCGGAAACACGCCTGAGTTCCCTTGAAGTCTTCCGTGACTGGAGCAGCCACCGACCAGGTCGCGGCATCAGCTGCTTGGAGTCGTTGTCCACGGCGCGCGTGAGGCAGAAGCCGAATCAGGTAGTTTTGAACAGCATCGTTTAGTCAGTGAGCTGGGCCCCACAAGCATCGAGTCATAGACAACACAAACACGCTGCCTCGAGCCTGGTTGGATACGGTACTAGTACCTATTAAGCGGCCTTCCCCCTTGCCGGGCACATGCAACATCAGCACATGAAGAAGGCCAGACATCATGTCCTAGAAGGTTGATATGACTATAAAGCGTATGCAATCAGAGGTTTCAGGCAGTCAGGCGGCCGGCTAGGCAAGACGTGATCTGCCTGTCTTCCACCATCGGTGTCGTCGGCGAGTCGTCCCAGTGGGCTGCAGTAAACGTCACTTTGCAGCGGACAGGCTTGTTGCAGTGGAGTATTTGTTCACAGCTGGGACCGGACGGGTTCACACATCTTAGTGCCCTCACACTTCTTGGCTGAACATGTCATTGCTACTGGAAGTTGCGTTCAGAAATTTGGCTGAGTAGTGGTCCTTGAATCTCCGAGTTTGTTGGTTGAAGGTGCGGCGTGCCAGGCTGGCCTTGCTGCAAATATCTCCCCGACCTTCCTTACCACTGATGTGTCGCCTGCTCATTCCAAGATGAGCTTCTAAATTGCTGCGTCCTTGCCCTGGTCATAGCCAACCGAAGTACAGTCGCTGTACATATCAATAGTAATGGGAAATGGACTCCTGCTTTGCTGGAATCTCAGATGCAGGGTGAGAGGCATTGATTTGGTCTGTTTTAGGCTTGGGCTGTCAGAAATTGACTCGGCTTCATATGACCAGCCAATGTGTCGCAGCCAACGTGCGAAAGCTTGACAACAAATTAAGAAGCGCTCGCCCCCAGGCGCAGCGGCAACAGGCATGTTGTGATTGATTGCACACCACCACCCACGACCAGCTGAGGCTGCTGTGCGAGGCATGTCCCAGAGATCCCTGCCGACCGGATTGCAGTTGGCATCTTGTGTGGGTCCCTCACAGGCTTTCTCGTTAGTTAAGCTACGGTTTCGTTTGGTTTCTTGCAGTCTGGAGCGATCATCCCATTGTTTTAAGCGGCGGGCCAGTGGGCCGTTTTCATATCATAAGCACGCATTCAACACTGCACTCGGCATCGCTTGGGCTCATGTTCCATTCCGGTACAAGAGAGCGCTTGGGATGTGCTCACCATGTCTGGCAACAGAGCAAGTGCTATTCGGAAGTTTATTCATCGCCGATTGTTCTTGCGAGCGTTGGTTTCCCAAACCGGGCCGGTATAGGCATGCAGCTTGGCGCAGATATGTTGTTGCGACAGCTGTGCACTGCAAGCAGCCTTTCGCGTTCTAGGGCATCATGCGTGGACCTGTTGGTGTTGCCACATGCTGACAGCTGCCCAATTCTAAGTAGGAACATATCCTCTCGTGATGCATATTTGCATCGCATGACGCCCGGCACTTCAGGTCTGCAGATGAGTTCACGCTCACATGTTCCATGAGAAGCTTCCAGCGAAGTTCGGTTTGGTCGTGGACCCTGGACATCCTTCGCACGATGGTGCACTTTGCCTGACATTTGGAACAGCTAAGCCTGGCTCGGTAGTCAGTGCAGCAAGGGATCTTAACAGTCAGAGCACGCCAAAGGCTCCGGCATCGGAGTACTGCCGTCGCCGACGATTCAATCTGATCTTGCATTGCATGCCTTTCTAGCCGGCTGCTGTGTGTACCACAAGCCAGCAAATCCAAAGCCGTCATCGTGGAATCACCGGCAGCCCATTGAGGCTCGGCGAGCTCCGACCGGATGCAGTCGCAATGGCTTGCGCGGGCGCACCTCTGTGGTTTGAGCCTTGCATCTCATAACCACATCGTGGCGAGATATTTGCGATTTGGACTCATGCTTGCTAGCACAGCGCCTCTGATGCTGGAGTTTCACTCAACAGTTCCAGCTGCTACTTTTCTGTTTGTGTTTGCGGTGATTGAGGAACAGCTCGCCGTGCTCTCGCGCATGGAGGCCGGATTCGCGCAAACGCTGGGGCACAAACTTCCGCGCCAGGTCGTCGTCTGGTAAGTTTTTCCCTTCAGCATCACGAAATGCCCAGCTGAACACCGGTTCTCTCCCAGCATTAGGCCGTTTCAATGTTCAGAACTCTTTCGCTTCTGAAGACCACGAGAGGGTTTGAAGGGAAGGAAGTTGCAAGATGTGTGTGGGCGCTTGCACAGTGGACTCCAAGGCTTCCCGCATGCATCATGACTGTTGACACATCCAAAAGATATGGCATGGAGGGTGCTTTTTCTGTTGTAGTACGAGGCATACTACATTTTTCAGAGAAGGCTCGGAACAACTCTCCCTAGCCTCACTCGCATTGCAAAGGCCCAGGCAATCCATCCTGATGCCCCTGCACTGACGAGCTGCTTGCGGCTGTGCAGCTGGCCTTGGAAAGAGAGCATTGGACCATGTTGGAGCTTGTTCAATATCTGAGCTGATCTGTTTGTGATCCGTCAACATCTCAAGATGTTTGCCTGTGAGATCGATGTGTCTGAAGAACCCAGTCGGAAGCGCGACTGCCAAATCCAAATCCCGAGCCGTTCTCCTAAAGACTCTAAGCCCAAGGCGGCCCACAAGGATGGCCCGTCGCCATGAAGCTACTGAGAAGGCCAAGGGGGCGTCGAAACAACCACGGAACTGCCTTTCAAGGCCGTGGCATGCCTTGCAGCATGTAGTATAGTTCTTAACCAATGACTGACTAAGGGAGACTGAGTCACATGGAGGTCATACCTCAAGCTGATGCAAGAAGTTGCATGTTTTTGACGCTGTGATGTGTAACGGTCCCTCTTCCAAGTCCTGAATGTTACCGCCTTTCTTTCCGACCAGACGGAAGTCGCTTGTCGACCAGTCACTGGACAGCAAGAGGAACATAATTGCGCGAAATCGTGACCCAAAAAATGCACCTTCGAGAGAGTTGGGCTCTTTTGTTGGGATGCCATTCCTGGTAAGTTGTTCCTTCTCCGTTTTGGTTCAGATGCTTCACCGTGGCGTACACTACTTTCAACCTCTTTCCGGTGCGGCCCAACTGGATAAGGATTTGCTTGGGCGCGGTCCTGGCATCTTTGGCCAAGAGCATCTGATTCTGCAGCTGAAGACTTGATGGCGCATTTCCAGCAATGCTGCGTGCCCGTGCGATTTTCGGATACTGAGATATCTTGAGTTGCAGCATCATGCATTCAATGCTACCCGCCCAAAAGAAATCAAAATAATGCTGCTGGATTTGCACGTGCATTGGTAGCAATGGACGCTGGCCTTACAAACAAAACACTGAGTCTGAGGAAACACTTCTCATGGCAGAGTTACACAGACGAAGGAGTGTTCATTCCAGATGCTAAGGCAGCCAGTGGCAGCTGGCAGTTGACCTGCTTCTGCAGTTTCCAGTAGCTTGCTCCAGACTTGAGATGAGCGGCGTGGGGATGCAAAGAGGCATCTGTCTGAAATGCTGATGGTGGCACAAAGCCGTACAGGCCAATACCAAAGGCAGGTGAGCGCCGTTAAGCATCCAAGCCTTTGAGACTTGGGAAATAGTTTTCTGAGAAATTTGAAACATGAGTTCATGCAAATTGCTTTAGATCTCAGGTGTACCAACTGCAGCCAGACGAAGTGAGCTTCAACAGCGCTATGGAGGCTTGCGAGAAGGCTGACGGCAAAACGCTGTTGACTTCGAGTATGGCATTATGGTAGCCTTGCGGCCTTGCGCAAATCCATTCCAAATACATGCTCATGCAAGCCGAGCCTACTCATTCGAATCCGCCTGTCATGGTTCATGCAGATGCATATGTCACCCTTCCTGGGGCTCAAGATTCGAGGACGCTTAATTAAGGCAGGCCCTTGCGTTTGCCGAAGTGTTCTGAACCGTCGGTGGAGTCTGCAAGGCGAGCCAGTGGCCGACGGCCTTGGCGCTGCTGTGTGAAATGGAGCAGACGGAGGCAGGGTTTCGTCTCGACACCAGAATCGCAACTTCTCATGCTTGCTGTGCCTCCTCATGCAAGGTTCCCAAGCATCGCAGTTTGGCATTTGGGCGCAGATTTGCCCTAGGATTCTTGAATTCTTCTTCGTTTCACTTGGATGCCGGTCTAAAGCAAGCTATGCATGCTGCGCATTATCTCCCCGGCGCAGGTCCTTGCAGGCGCTTCTTGTATGCATGGTGGGCGTTCGGCTCACACAGTCCTTCTGCATGCTCTCTTACTCTTTACTCATACCCTTACACTCCACCCACACGCCCCAGCTCGCCCGCATGCACACACGCAGCAACCTCACACCATCCTTCACGGGATCTAAGGCCATCACTTTCAGCAGCGCTATCAAGGCTTGCAGCGCAAGCCTCGGCAGAGCTCTTCCGAGCAGTCAAATGCCATGCAGTATCACAGTAGCATGCGCTAGCTTTTCATTGAAAAGAGACATCAACAGAGACGTTGCAGATGCTGGTGCCCCCGACTTTGTAGCAGCACTGAGGCTTGTTTCGCGATCAGCAACCGGAATAGTGACTTCTGCCTGCGAAGACCAGCGAGGTAATTGCAGCCTCTGGCAGCACGGAGTGAGGCTCCTGGCTCTCATGAAGGAGGGGATGCGAGGGTTCCTTCAGGGGCCAAGACATCCCGCTGCAGCTCGCGGTTTGGCTTCTTCTCAAAGATCTCATCCAGCATGGGATGTCATCTCCTTGTGCTTCCGATGCTCTTGGAACCGCCCAGAATTCGGTGGCTCACGTCCAGCCTGTTTACAGCCGCATACTGTAGACCGCATAGAGATCGTAGAATACAAGAGATCCATGATCGTGGCTTGTGGCAGGAGCGGGACCTACCTCCGGACACCATCTGCTTCAACAGTGCTTTAAGCTCACGAGGCAAGGAGCGAGCCTGCTGAGCCACAACGCAGTTTTGTTCTAAATGCTGGCTGTCGCAGGGGGTCGCAGGGTTACACTTGAGACAATCATTCTCAATACAAGGGATGATGGGTGGTGTAGACTAAGAGTCGCTAGAGCACAAGCATCCTGAGC